ACGCTACTTGTCGATGCTGCCGCTTTGCTATAGCTCGAAGCTGGCGGGTGCACGAGGCCCAAAAACTCTCGGCTCCACGTGTAATATCCATACTTTCTGCCTAGAAGACTGGCTAATTCTAGTCAGTCGATATCTTCGTCTGGCACATCGTCGTAAAAATTTGCCAGATGGTCGTCCACACACAAGTGGCCGAGGACATATTGTCTTGAAACCGGTCGGTGAGGAGGAACATCCGGTGCGACGTGATCATGGGGGTCTGTAAACTGGCGTAGGCGTCCAGCAATTGGTGGACCTGCAGGCGGTACGTTTGTTCTCCTGTCCAGTGCTCGATGAGTATACCCAAGAGGACAGCGGCGCTGTTGCACTCTTAAAATAGATGCTTGATAGTCTCGACACACCCATGACAGGCCGGTCCCTTTCTGCAACTGTTGTCCTCAAGCCGTGCCGCATAGTAAAGGTTGATCTGGCGCGTCTTAAAACGTTACCCTGTCCTGATTTGGTAATGATAGAGTCCATGACTATAGTCCCATACTTGCTGCAGGGGTCGCCAAATCGCGGCGCTCTGCCACTCGTCCGTGAGAGCTCTGGCGTCAAGACGGGAAATCAAATCCAGAAGGGGGCGGGAGAACACTGTATAATAAAACCTTAAAGCCTAGCGACCGAGTTTTTGAGCGATGTATTGTTGGACTTTGGTCCGGAACGGACCAAGGAAACGGTGCAACAGCGGGTTCCCCTAAAAATTGAGCCCCCGTGTCAGGAGTTCGCAGTGAAGCGCCCGTCGAGCGTCTGCGGAATCGACGATAAGCTCCGGCACCGACCCATGAAAAAACCAGTGCAGCCCTTCACTTGCTTGGTGTAAAGTAAACAACCGCTGTCGGATCCGCGACCCGGACGATGGTCTTCCTTAAATGATTCATGCGCCCTGCAGACGTCAGGTGTAGCGTTCCGTGAGCGGTGGTGCATGTCGGATTAGCAGTGGTGACTGCTTGCTGAACACCGCCCAATAGGTAGTTCTGGGGAGAATTACAGCAAGGGTGTCGCCCACTTTCGAAATTAAGCGACCGAGTGAGTACCGAGGAGGTTTTTCTTTAAATACAACGTCAACACAAATTCCTCCAGTTCCGTGCGAACGCTGTTTAGCGCTACCGGAGAGCAGACCGCTATCCGATCGTACTTGGCGGGGATTAGCATTTTACCGCCCAGATCGCGGATTTAGGGATTAGCACTCCAATGAATCGTGGGCCAGAACCGCTGGGTTGAAAGGGGTACAGCGTCGACTCCGAGTGGCCTTCGTGGAATATGTGGTAGTACGACGACACGAATTCCAACCCTTCCCACCAAATAGTGGCTCGTTCGAGCAAAGCCGAAGATTGACCTGCAACCTACACCAGCAAGCTGTCTAATTGCGCTGACGTAGGTGCTAGCGATTCGCCAAACTTTTGCGGCAGCGCCTGATTCATTGAGCGACCGCCGCTAGACTTCACCCGCCGATTAGCCTGCGCTGATGTAATGTACGGCTCAATGCCCGGTGGCCCTTCCCGCAATGCCCAGACCCACCAAGCGTCAAAATAATTGTCCTGACGCTGCGTACGCCACCGAATGGTATGCTTCGTACGTTGAGTCTTGGCGTGCATCGAAAAATAGATTCGCCCAATACCCCCAGCCTGTCTGGGCGTCACGAGCAGGCCTAAGCTGACCTTGTGACGCTTGTTGTCGGTCGTCGTCGTATTCTCGTAAAGAATTTTCTGGTAAAAATTATGCAACTCCTTTCTCGCCCACCTAGGTAGGTCAAAGACGCTCTCCGTAAAGAGCAATGAGGGAAGAACAATGAAGTTCAAAATGAGGACCCTATTATCTGCGCTAGTCGCCACACGCGTCGTAGTGAATAGGCGGCGCTGAATCTTCCGGATCTGCTGAGTCTAATTTCTGGTGGCCAACTGCCCGGTGTCGATCTCATACACCTGGTACCTGGTGGCGGCGCCAAAAGGCACCGTATTGATCGCTGCATAGCACGCGACGGAGATGGCCCGGTTCAAAAAAAGTTTGCTCTTGTCTGACTGTAAACGGAGTCAGGACAAATTAAGTAAAGCCCGTACGATACCGAGAAGCATGGAGAATGTGTTGTGCTTTGTCCAAGAAAAGCGTTAAAGCGTCGACGATTGCCGATAACAGACGAGTCTGCTCGCCCCCTGGGCACGAGTCGTCCTTCAAGCGATGAATTTTGCTTAATGGCGATCCCTAAAACTTCCGCAAAGATTAAAAATAGGAGAGGCGCCAGCGGGCAGCCTTGGCGGATACCGGAACGCAACAGGAGCGCCGCTGACCGATCCTCGTTAACAACGAAACTCGCTATTTTGCCGGTGTGGATCCGACAGATGAGGTTGACAAAGCGTTCGGAGAAACCGAAAAGGAGGGTCTCATATAAAATCTACCGGTCCATTTTATCGAAAGCCTTCCTATAGTTCATTAGTAGGTTACAGCGACTGTCCTTTGCGAAAAAATAGGGTTGCTCCGTCGCTGTCGTTAGCTGTGCCATCATCATAATTGTATTTGTCATACGACGCCCGTGAACAAAACCTTGTCGAGTGTCGCTAATGGCTCGGGGTTAAAATATCTGAACCCTCGTAGCGAGCACTTAAGCAAGAATCATATACTCAGTTGTAACAGTAATATCGGTCGGTAGCACCTCGGCCTCCGTGACAGGCACCAGCAGGCGGTAATTGTAAAGAAGACTGAGCAATTGCGTCGGTGGATATGTAGCAAGCTCATGGATCGCCTTGCGCAACGGGCCCACTGGATTCGTGCGATGTCTGGATCTTAACACGGATGCCCACTCCGACGCAAATTTATCGGCCAAGTACATATGCCGTTGGAAATCGTGCCCATAGAGTGCAGTTAAAAAGTAGACATGCTCGTCCCGTTTGCAATTGGCAACCCGTTTATAAGACCATCGAAGATGATCGGCTGGCCGCTCTAATTGTTCCCCAAGCCGCTCCATATGCGCTTCCCTCAGCTCATCCACGTTGGCCGATATTCAATGAAGCCGTGTCTAAAAAAGCCTCCTCCCACGTTGTTGAATTCTCGAAATGAAGCGTGTGCGCCGCTGCTATTCCTGTCTCCCCACCACGGTATGACATCGAATGCACCGTTTCACTGTGGTGTTCCAGGACTGGACAGTCGACACATAACCCACCCGCCATGTTACCAATTCCCGTATTATAAAAAATACCAAAATTTTCCGTAGGAACCGGTCCGGCTGAGCCGATGGGATGGGGTACAACGCGCGCTTTGCTGGGGTGAGAGGGGCGGGTCGTCGGATCCTTAAATGAGGGACCACTTGCTGATGATCAGAGTATAGGGGTGGAGGACCGGCTGACAACCAGGAAACCTTCAATGCCTATGATCCAGGCACGTAGAATTGGTCAATCCGACTGTCTATTTGGCTACCCAATAGGTGTAGTGATCCTCAGAACTTCCTTTCCATTGTTCGCATGGCCCCGCATGACGTTTGCATCACTCAGCCTAGAAGCCGCCATTAACGTTTCTAGCGCTAGGCTTTCTGTCCGACTAGCTGTTTAGTAACGCAGTCGGCATACTTGAGGACTCTGAACACTGTTCTAGTCTCCGAGCAAGGCCGTTTCCCCGGCATCAAATTACACTGGTGAAGACTTGTACAAAAAAAACGCTCCTCCGAAGGTTGGGAGCGTACACGTATAGGATAAAAATGTCCTGGACCATACCGCAAATGGCGCGAGAAGTCCATTTCGATTTATTCCACGCAACGGCCTCGGTCGCGACAGTCAATGTGGGTGAAATAGCAACATCACTGGTCCTCGAGAATTCTACCGTCCAAAAGTTCATTGGCGCCTGACTCTAGTCGTGTTGTTTTCCCCGTACCCTGCTCCATTCCTGCTGGAGTTCGGTTTCTTCCTCGACACTCGTGACATGAGTGTCTTGGATGTACCACGAGGGGTCGGGAACTCATAGGAGTCCTACGCCAACCCGCCATCTGTTGAGCCCGTTTGTCTTTCGTGAAGCTAATGACATTTTGTGACAGAAGCCGCTGGTTCGCCGTAAGGTGACGTGGCCAGCGAGAGGTATACCCCATGAGAGTATGAAGCAAAACACTGCGGCTGTACGCGTCCGCACCCTGGAGCGCCGACCGAACTAATCTCATCGAGAGGGGTGCCCGTGGAGAGCCCATAACACAGGAGTAGGGGATCTCCTCACGACGAGTGAGCTTAGAGTAGAAGAAACGCTCTGTTCGTTCATAGCAGTCGAGAAGAGGAAGTCTGTAGCGCTGTGATAAAAGGATTCTGTCATTGTTTTTAGTGTTATCGTTTCTTGCTACCATGATGGACTAGTTGTTCTTGTTCTCGGTCACTCCTATTGACTCAAAAAACCATCCACTATGCTGTTCACTTAATCACAAATATTACAACATCTCTCTTAGTCGTCAGCCTTTTCTTCAACTGTTACTTCAACCGTTACGGGTAGCAGTGCCGTTTCTAATACGCTCTATCGCCACCCAATTAACCTCATTGGCGGACAAGTTGTAGACCGACCGGTAGAGCTGATTTGACCGGAACAGGCGAATATGGAAACGGAGCTGATCGGACACACGCAAAGCTGCAGGGACACCCTCCTCAAGAGCTGCGATCTCTCGAGAGTAGACAAGCGCGCACACCAAATGTTGGATCAGCTTGGGGCGCCTCTGGCGATCGCAAAATCTGGGCAAATCATCCCCTGCATAATTTTAGGTCCTTAGTGTGGTCTAATCATCGTAGCTGTCCATAAGCTGTGCTAGAATGGTGTAATCCCTGCGGTGCTGCGTGTTGCTTGTCCAGCAATCAAGCCAATTTATCGTCAATTGACTGAGGGTTGGTCTCGGTACCGCCAAAGCCTATCTTCCAAACAGCTGCGCCTGCTCTCTGCCATCCACTGGACGAAGACGGACAGATCAAGGATCCAAAGAAGATCACGTGGAATCGCAAAACGTATTACCAGCCAAAGTAAGTGGTCGGACGCCTGACTGGCGACTTGCTGCCACTCCGACGTCGAGCTGCTGGCTGTGGGAAACGGAATTTGGAGTGAATAGGCCATCCCGATTTTAACGTCTCCCACGCTGCCGCCCAGTCGGTTTGGTCGATGTGCCCGTCTGAAACAGCATCCGTTAGTGGCGGAGGCCCTGGTTCTCGCCTCCCTTTCTTAGCCACCCCCTTCCCCCTGAGCCGGATCTGGCGCGACCGGATGATCCGATATCTGCGGGATGGAAATCGAAACAAGCGCCCGTCTTCGGTCGACTGGAGGAGAAGGTCTCATCCCCGCTAAAGGCGCTAGAGGGAGCGGTGGATAGACCACCTGCCGATCGACCAGAGCTAGCGCTCGGCACTCCGCTTGACCGTCATAACTACCGACCGCAGGTCCCGCTGTCATTGGCGTATTTATCAACTCCGGTGACTCCTCGTGGTGTCCAGGAGCCGTGGCCTTGGGCGGTTCGCCTCCCCTGTAGAAGTCCTCGCAAGGGGACCAGACTCCGTACGCCCCCGGTCATCCGTCGAACCTTAATAGAAAGAAGATTACTGTGCGATTTAGCTTAACCTGAGTATCAGGTAGTTAAATGAGGCTGATTACAGGTAAAAATGAGGAATAAAAGCTCAGTTTCCCTTTTTATCTTCGTTTTACACGTGTCTATTTTAGACGTCAGTAGATCGTTCCGAGTAAGAGCCAGTTCGTGGCGTATACTATAGAGCACGTTATGCGCACGATTCTAGAGTCGTTGTTTGTCCCCTGACCAGGACTAGAAGCTCTCTGAGCCACTCGAGTCTCTGTTGATTAGTTGTAAAAAGTAGAGACTATTTCAACAATAGTTGGAGTCTAGTTCCGTAGAATTTAGTGACTCTTAGAGTCGTAAGTCTTCCTCTGACTAAGAGCTGTGTAGCTTCACTACAGATGACACACGACCACCACCACCATTGAATACCCACTAGATATCCCATGATTTTCAGTCACTTATTGGATGATGGAGCCACTTGTTCATGGAGGCTCTCCGCCAATGGAACACGCTTTCCTTTAACAGACCCTGCGAATTCAAATTCGTTAATAACGATACGCACATGACCATGATTTTTAAAAGTCCTCTTTTTTTCTGAAAAGTCACAGCTTTTAATATTTCCGCACATTTGGCTGCAAGGTTTACTTATTGCAAATAGGAGTGAAATTAGTAGGTTCGGGGCGTGAAAACTAACAATTCCCATTTGTTTCGGCTGCTCGTTGAAGTGTGAGTATGTAGTCCACACAATGTGCACATCATCTCCACCTTATTCCAAGTTCATAACCCGCTCACAAAAGCCGCGCTAGGGTCGGTCTGTCGACAAACAGACGGACGTTACAGGCACGAAAGCGCGTCCCCCGACGCATCACGTTGTGACTCGAGCACAGTCGATCGTTGCACGCTTTTCATCCATTCGCATTGCGCCATTTAAGCTGCAAAAGCATTGAAAAGTACGCGGAAATCGATCCATCGAGTCGCTCGTCGTGCAGTTTCTGCATCTCGTGGATTCATCGCTCGTCTGCTGTCAGGCTAGTGGCTTGGCTTGTTTTCACAGCATCCCAACGAATTTACACTGTATCTAGACCCGTAGTACACTCATTATCATGTCGACAGTCGTGGTGGAGCAGCTCCGTGATTCCGGGATGGCTACACCCAAAAGTACAAGCGGAAAAGCTCAAATGGCCGCTGCAAAAGGATCCAAAGACGAGTCGCGATTCGACAGAGCTGTGGATATTGTGGGAAAGGAGGCGGACAAGCAACTAGAAGGAGCGAAGACAGTGTATTGCAGCAACGCGGTCGTCGCTGGTCCAATCGCAGCAATGGGGGACGATAATGACGTGCGTGGCATAAAAAGCAGTGGGGAAAGTGCATGGGAGACGTCGACAAAACGAGTGGAGCAGATGAGACGGAGATTGCAAGTTCAGCTGCAATTTGTGGAGAAGGCGCGACGACAAATATTGGACGAGACGCACCCGGATATGGTCGAGAGGCTGCGGCAAGCGGCAAGAGAACGCGATCAGTTGTTGGGTGCAGCAAAACAACGGAACGAGTACTTCCAGCATGGCACGGCCGTGATCTTTAACTATGAGTGTGATGAAGCTAACTCGGAGTACGATCTGCGATGCGAGAAGTTGCGTCAGGATATGCTTGAGGAGATTCACCATGAGATGGAGATCCTGAATGATCAGCGCAAGGGGGGTCACAATTGCGGTAGGATCTCGAGTGTTTGTTCATAGTTACCGTTTCACTTCTTGTTTATCATTGTGTATGCCCCTGACGGTCATGAACTTGTAATTTGCTGCAGTGCGAACAACGACGCGCAAGACACGCAGTACCCGCACAAAAGCAGGTCCAGATCCAGTTCTTGTCCTTGACACGGCACAGAAAATCAAGAAACGAGCTGGCCACGTCTTCCAGCCGTTAGAGAAAGAGTTGGGGCAGTCGGAGATTGATCACGATGTGCGCGAGCTCACGAACGTTTATATGATGACTAAGAAACGACGCATGGAATTTGACACTGGTACGCATCTATGGATGCACGCTTGCGTTGTCGGTGTGGTTATTGACAAGCTTTTGCGTGTAATTAACTATATTGCAGTCACGCCAGTGGTTAAATTCTATCGCAACAAGTTTCTGTATCGAGACTGGATCTTCCAGGAGGGCGACGAAGTGTATGTACTCGACTATTCTGTATCGAGTGAATATGCAGCCGTCATCTGTGGCATTTCATCGACCGAACTCCTCGTCTTGTCGGAGAAGGGAAAGCACTACCGGTTGGTTATCATGGACATCCGGCAAGGTCGTGTCGTGCTCACCACCTTGTCATCAGAGCAGGCTGCTTCCCGAGACGACCTCGGCGATGAGAGTTTTTAGAAGCACGACTGCATCTTATCCAATGTCTTGCTCAACGCTTATGCTTGTCTTTGGTCAGTCACCTTGTCTTAATTTTGCTAATCCCATCAACAATCCTAAAAAAGGGTGTTGGAACTACTCGCGTAGTCCGAAGCGATTATCCGTTGTTCGTCAACTGCAAACCCTTTTACTGTTCAGTCAAAGCTCTGCTAGTGCTGCTGCAAATGACTCTTCAAGATCCAGAAAACGGTCACTGGTCTGCTTTAGCATCATTTCCTCGCTTCTTTTTCGCAAGATAGTGGGCCGCCGCTGCCTGCTTGCGCTCCTCGTCTGCCCGTGTCTCCTTGTACAGTTCAGGAACATCCAGACCGACGCGACGTGCCGAGCGATGAACCATCTCTTGACTCGAGAGCTCGTTCTCCAGACCAGCGTCCAGTGCCCATAGATCCTGCAGATAACATAAAATCCACAAGACAACCAACAATCAGATTCAAAATTATCCTTGAAAAAACATACGATGAAGTAGTCACGCAACAAAGGTACGGAACGTACGCGCTGCTCCTCAATGCCGTGCAGCAGCGTCAGGTAGTCAGTAGCTTCTGCTCGGTACATGCGGATCTTGGAGCGGTCGGTTTCTTGCTGTCGTGCTCGGTACTATATCATCCGGATAATAAAAGATCAGGATACTTTCTAGATAATATAGTAAGTATAAAGCAAGATGAAAGTCGGATGTTTGTATATGTTTCACGCTAAAACCAAAGAAAGGGGCTGGACCTGCGCGAGGATCTGCTGCGAGAATTTGCAGTCGCGTAGAGACGTCTTCGAGCTGCGTGTGCGGGTCACGCGCAGCATCGAGCGCAGGTTCTTGAGCACGTCGGTCTTGGAGCCGAGCCGCAGTCCGCGTGCCATGGCGAATTAAAATGATGTGGTGCACCTTATAATGCTTCAAGTGGTAGTCATTTTCGCGGTTACGACTTGACGTTCGAGTCGCTGCGCGAGCGTAACCATCGAGGTGTGTGTATCACGTGTTACTGCATCTGCGTTTACAGCTAGAAAAACGTTGTACAACAATTGCAAATCGCAGAAGCTGCAACTACAGAATGACAGCATTGACAAGTGTGTCATTTCTTCGCACGACGGGGACAAACGTGCACGAGTGCAACAGTCCAAAGAAGCGATCGATCTGCCTCTCGTTGTCGTCATCTTGGAATCCTTTTTATTCCAGAACAAGGCGGTCAACCTCTTTAGTCCTTTCACGATGTTCAATCCCATTCAAGTGCATCCATCATCTCACGAGATCAAGTGGATTATTAATACCACGCATCGCTGTTTCGCAATGTTGACCGGACGAACCAACTCGATGGGTGCGGCATGCCAGTCGGTGCAGCTTTTGCACGTCCACTACAACAAGTCAGTGCTTTTTTTTCGTCAAATTCTAACATTCCATCTCAACCTGGGACAATTTCTACGACCCAGCAGCGACCACAAAACGCGTCACTATTCTCCACACGCCCGTTCAGCTCAAGTCGGAAGAAAAAAGTATCACGTGGTCGTGCCTCTCGTTCATTGGTCCCGTCGCTCCCGCTTTCTCATTGGTCAATCGCGTCCAACTCGGACCGACGTCCATCAGCAGTCGTCTCACTGTTCAAAAACCCTCTTCCCACACTGCAGTCGTCGGGCTTACTTGGTTCTCAACAAGCCCAAATGGCTACACTCAGTCGCAGCTCTTCAGCCAGCAGTATCCCCGAGACCGAGATCGCGTCGAAGATCGTCTCGACCATCAATGAAGCGCTAGAGACGATACGCGCGGGCGGGTTCGTCGTCGTCATGGACAATGAAGACCGGGAGAACGAAGGAGATCTCATTGGAGCTGCGGAATTCGCGACGGAAGAGCGCGTGGCTTTTATGCTGCGACATTCCACCGGCATCGTCTGCGTCCCCGCGCTCTCGGACCGGATCAATGCGCTGCAATTGCCGCTTATGGTGGCTGACAATACGGAGGTGCACAAGTGCAAGTTTACTGTGACTGTGGACGTGAAAGACGGCAACTCCACGGGCGTCTCGGCCGCCGACCGGGCGCGGACGATTCGCGCTCTGGCCGATCCTGCCGTGACGACGTCGGATTTCACTCGTCCGGGGCACGTGTTCCCGTTATTGGCTCAGTCCGGAGGTGTCATGGTGCGTGCTGGCCACACAGAAGCAGCCACGGACCTCACGCGACTGGCTGGCGTGGTGCCAGTTGGCTACATTTGTGAGATGAATGATGAAAACGGACAAATGCTGCGCCGCCAGCAGCTGCACGAGTTTGCCAGGAAGTTTACAGTACCGCTGATCACGATCTCGGACCTCATTCGCTATCGCTCTTGCACGGAGACTTTGGTTCAGCGACTGGAGACGACGGAGCCGGATGTTGCGACTCCTATTGGACACTTTACTAGTGTCGAGTACAAGTCACTTGTGCAGGAGGACCAGACGTACCATGCACTAGTGTTTGGTGATGTCCAAGATCAGACGGACGTGCCAGTGTTTCTTGTGGACGATGGATTTGTGGCGAGTTTACATGCGCAGTGGGCGCAGCAGCACGTTGCAAGTCATGGCTATGGCATGCTGATTTACATGCACGGCTCAGCACGTCTGTTGCAGATTAGTGGCGAGCTTATGGCTCGTCAGAGCATCTTTGGCATGGCCATGCAGATCGTGCGTGAACTCAAGGTCCGTTCGGTCCGGTTACTCGTAACGACTGAGACGAGCTTTGACCCGCATGGATTTGGCGTGGAAGTGACGGCAAGCGAATTTCTCGCGACGTCGTTGTAGACCACAGGATCTGCTTAGAGCTTTTGATAGGGAACAATATAGACGCACTCACTGATGACCGTGTGCTTCGCTCAGTATGTGCACAACAAGCGTAAACAAACCTCTACTTTTTGAGCATTCTTGTTTAGCCCTGTGACCTTGCCTGCCTACCTCAGTCACGCGGAACTTGACGGTAAATCCTCTGCTTCTTGGCACGGGATCGCACGAACAGAAAGTAGCCACCCACCGCGGCAACAGGAAAAATGTACCATGCAAAGAGAGTCACGCGAGGAGCTGCGACGCCCTGCAAACCGTCCTCATGCTCAGTCTTCGTGTTTGCAACAAGTTCCTTCGTATTAGCCACGTTCTTGATACCGAGCTCTGCATCCTTTGGACGATACTCATCGCCACCCTTAGGCTCCGCTACGGTGGGCCAAGACGACTGGGCCTTCTCCTCCGCCATCTCAAACGCGCTCGCTTCCCTCGTTTTGTTCTCACCAGCCATAGGGGCCATTGTCTCCGTTTCGACTTCGGAACGCAGAGATACAGGTGATACTCTCAAAACATCATCCTCTTTCTCGACCAGAAGAACACCGACATCACGGTAATCGTAAGTGTGACCCAACCATTTGTCCACCTCTACCATCTCCCATGAACCTTCAGTTCCACAAGTCGGACATTGCTCCTGTTTCGGCCAAATGGGGTGGTGTACGCGTTTGTTGACAGAGTTGTGCTGCGCCCACAGCCAACGACGCAGCGCCAGTGGCTTGTCGTCCGCGTCCTTAATCTTCTTGACAACCTCGACAGTATTCTCCTTCAAAAAGTGTTCACGACAGTCCGCACACCCGAAAAAGTGCTTCGTAAAACGACGGATCGACGCTGCCACAGACACCATGAGCTCGTCACTGCGTGCCCCGCTCTCTGGCGGATTCATCGTAAGCATATGAAACATATTCCACTGACCACATGTGTACAGTGCGCATGCACGATACGTTGCTCCTTGACCGAGAAACAAATCATTCAATCTCTGCCATTCAGAGACCTCGACCCCCGTAACATCCCACTGACCTTCCTCTGCCTTGAATGCGGCAACTGAGCCCTCTTGCCACGCCCCCAGCATGGCGTCCCATGTGTCAAAGTCCAGCATCTCTTTATCCTTCAGCTGCTCGTACAATAACGTAATAACCTTGCGATTGATCGAACCAGGAAAGGTCGTTGACACTAATTTCAACCAGCCTTTCAAAGCGTCCAGCTCCTCCTCATCCATGACATCACTTCCCATGAACACACCCTGCTTGAGTCCGAACACGAAAGCTGAAGCTGCATCCTGGAGACGCGTCGTCTGGTTTGTTGGAAGCGTCGATTCTTCCCAAATCACAACCTTTGGAGCCTCCGTGGTCACTGCCGTCTCATTTGCTCCCTTGGATCCATTAACTGCCATCACTTCCTCCTTGGCCTTGCTTGCTACCGGAGGCGTGTACCCCGGCGGCCAAGTTCCCGTGGTATTAAAAGCCACTTCAGCCACCACGCTGTTGACGTAATCTTTGACTTCCTGCACAGTGTGCGTACCAACGATCCGCTTGTTCTCCATCTTGGGTTTCGTCACATCGAAATTCAGCGCCATGAGCGTCGGGAAGCCCGTAATGCCCACGCGACGACACTTGACGTGGTCCATGCAGCTCATGGCGCCCACATAGTACGTCCCTTGTTCCTTGTAATACGCAGCCAGCTCAACAAACCGAGGTGCAAACTCTTTGCAGTGCGGGCAGCTGCCAGGATCGTTATATCAGTACACGAAAATCAACAACAAAGCACATCACAGAATGCCGTCAGTAACATACCCCCGTCGTCACCCATTGGCCAAAAAGACGCGCTCCTCCTCTACGTACAAAGGGTGGTAAAAGTCCACGAGCCACGGCTTGGCCGTCTTTGCCATGTGCTCGTCCCAGTTCTTGTCGGTCAAAAACGTGACATTCGGGTGCCCGTCTGGAAAGAGCGGCGCTCCCTTTTCTTTCGGGCTCTTTGCCGTGCTCGAGACCCGCGGGAACGAAGTGAGCAGCGCTAGAGTCGACGCCAGCGCGAAAAGGAGCTGCATTGAACCGGAAGGGACGCTGGCAGGGGAGGAATGGGGCGGCGTGCTGCTGGCTAGATTTGCAGGCGACGCAAAAGGGTGCCGGAAAATGGGGAAGTCGGCATTTGGGTCAATTCTGAGCAGTAAAAAAGAGAGGTAGCTGGCTTTGTTAGCCCAAGTGCGGATGGTTATTATTAGGGCAGAGAGACAAGTCCTTTTTCATTGACAGCAAGACAATTACTAGAGCGGGTTTGGACTATTTTTAACCGATCGGACCAAGCAGCTGTTATTAGGATAGCTGAAAGAACCACGGCTGGCACCAAATGGTTTTTTACAAGAGCAAATCTCAATATCATGACCACAAATGTCCAAAAGTCCCAAAAGCAGGACTATAGTTTAAACAAGTTTAATTTTTTTATTTTTATACTTGGGTTGAGTATGCAAACTAGCATAGTGTTAGCCACATTACACTCAACTGCAACATGGGATAAGAAACTGCCTGATCACTAATGAGTCTATCCATTTTTTAGACAACTGTCGCGATTGGTCAAAAAACGCTCTTTTTACCAACGTTCGTTTACTTCTCAATTTGCGCCCACGAGCCGATGTGCCCATTTTGGTTTGGGCACATTGCGTGCGAGCCAGGGCCCGGTCGCACGCACCCGACGAGCTCGTGACTGGTAAACTCCGTTATTGTATTAACACTCATGAGCAGCGGTAGCAGGTAATTATGCTGTCGATGTCGACTTTGCTGTCTGACGATCGTATGCTTTGTCTGTATGTATGTGTTGCAGTGCGTTTCAAGTGATGTCGGGTGATATCAAGTGATGTCGAGTAATGTCCAGTGATGTAAAGTGGCGTCCGGTGATATAGAGCGGCGTCGAGTGGTTTCAAGTAATGTCGAGTGTCCTGCTAACGATTGTGTGCTATGTCCGTGTGGATATGTTGCAGTGCCAGGAGTTTGTTTGACTGACTAGGGCGTAATATCAAGACAAGTGTAATACATGCGTTATGTATTTATATAGAAATTAGTACTGGTCTTAAAAGCAATAATCATTAAAAAAAATGTTCACTACCTCATACTGTTTATTTTAAATGGTTAGTTTGAGCGATTATGCGTAAGCGCAAGAAGTGGACTGAAAGAAGTGTTTGAGATGTCTCGAGTGACTGCAGCAATCGATATTAACACTAATCACGGTACCACTGACCTGACCTATTGTAAAACCTTATGAAATGGCGTTGCTGCAACCGCGTACATAAAGAATTACTGATTTAATCAAAATCGACAGTGCAAGGTGTAATAACTGAGTCACCCGGTCACGAGCTCGTCGGGTGCGTGCGACCGGGCCCTGGCTCGCACGCAATGTGCCCAAACCAAAATGGGCACGTCGGCTCGTGGGCGCAAATTGAGAAGTAAACGAACGTTGGTAAAAAAGAGCGTTTTTTGACCAATCGCGACAGTTGTCTAAAAAATGGATAGACTCATTAGTGATCAGGCAGTTTCTTATCCCATGTTGCAGTTGAGTGTAATGTGGCTAACACTATGCTAGTTTGCATACTCAACCCAAGTATAAAAATAAAAAAATTAAACTTGTTTAAACTATAGTCCTGCTTTTGGGACTTTTGAACATTTGTGGTCCTAATAATGAGATTTGCTCTTTTTACAATCGGTTTTTATGATTTTTGTTAAAACCGACAGCCTACGGTCTTCTGAATCAGATTTTATCAGGTCTGACTAACACACAGTCCGGCCGGCCGCCAATTTCTGCAACTGCAAGGAAGGCAACTGACATAATGTATCGTCAGTATGATATCTTTATTAGCATCTTCTAGTCGTACTAGCTACTATGTCGCAATCGTCGTTTTCTATAAGCCAGTTTGACGAACACGTCGATAACTTGAACGACGACGTTCTCGACCGTTAACAGCGAGACGTGCAGGTCGCCATGTTGGACTTCAAGATGGTCGTTAATGATGATATTGAACTTGGAATTCCGGCGCCAAAACGGAAACGTGGTCGATCTCCTAGCGAAGTCTGGAACAGGTTTACCGATGGTGCGTCTTCTAGATGCCACAAGTGCCGAATACATGCACTAAGGAGAGCAAAATTACCAAGTTACAGCTCAACTTTCGTGATTTATTGGAGTGGGACTGCCGAGGGGCAACCGCTTACAGCTGGAGGAAGTCATGTCTAAGTATCCTGTAGTAGACGAGACCCGCGACTCATTCGATGCAACACGAGCGCAGAAGATTGGCATTTAGTGGACCGAGTTCGTGATTGTGGCGACATTCACTCAGGATAAAGGACTGCCTCAACCCAAAACGAGGGGGCGAACTGAAGTATACTTGAAAGCGACTTGCCGAATTCTCTGACTACTTGCGCGACGGTGACGATATCATGGCGTGAAGCTTCCCAGTAGGCGCCGGCACATCGAGGCAAATAAAACCGTGGTTTTGTTTGCCCAAAATCCAGGTTCCAATATATCAAACCGAAAACCCAATTGCCTCGCTATAAATAATCGGGTTTTTTCCAGCCTTGGAAAGAACCAGACACGTGGACGAAGACGAAACTTTGTGAGTGACCCTTTTTAAGGCTACGAGCCAGTAAGATTATCAAGCTTTTGTCTTGCTGGTTCTCAACGAGGATTCAGATCACGCCGTTTTATTCGCAACTTCTATGCAGTTCCGCAAACTAACACTAGATAAGTAGGTCAGAGTTTGGTATTTTGCCATATCATTGCTGTTATTCAACCCTCGGCAAACCAGAACATGGCGCGGACAGAAGCTCATTTGGGAAGATGCGCAGGCATTCGTTAGAGTGCAGAGATCTTGAATATTTTTATGGCTTGTTTGCCCTACCCTTTTCTCTCCTGCATACTCGTTTTTGATACCACAACTTCTTGCGTCCGTCCAGGCATCCTCGACGCTTCAATGTAGTTCACGCGACTTCTTGATATACCTAGTGAAAGCGCATGCTGTGTGCGAGCGATGACTCAATTTGCGACGAAAGCTAAAACAAGGCGCCCATATCATATACTCGTAAACGTCATGTTGCTGTCGACAAGTGTGAAGAAGACAACACTGTACCGTGAACTTGACTGCTGAGAGCACTCTTTTCTAATTGCAACGCTCATGCGCAGCTAGATACCGTCACCTTTGCTGTGAACGGGTCAACACATCGAAGCCACAGGCATTTAAAGTTGCGACAGCAGTTTCAATGCCGACGCTAAGACAGCACTGTAAGATCTGTCGGTCGGCATTTGACCGTAAAAGGTAAGACATCGAATGCGGCTATATGCATGGTGTGATCTCGCAGCTGACTAGATGACAAGCATTTTACTCGCTGCTTACTTTTCCGTGCGTGCGGATGACAAGCATTCTATTCTTGGTAACTTCTCCGTGCGTGAGTGCGACCATATCCAACAACGCTAATGCTACTGCTACTGTAGATCGATTGTCCAGTCGTTTTGGTAGGATTCTTACACGTGAGCAATCCACAATATCAAATTAATAATTTTACTGTTTCTGACAGTATTAGCACCAAAGGTTTTGTCGAAAAGCTTCAACTGTCACGGCATCGTTCGAAAAAGCCACTTCAGTTTTTGCTTGCGATGTAGTAATCTATAGCGATGCCGAAGTGTTGACCCAAATTCTACTATAGTGCTAGTTTTGGCAAGAGCGCAAAACAATGACTCGATGAGTTACGATTTCGGGCCGGGCCGTGTCACGAGATGGTTGGACAGAAATTGTCATAGGAGAAAAGAGAGCAAGCTCTGGAGCTCACCCTTTGGTGTGAGTAATCCAGTTCATAGAGCTAAATCAAGTTGCAAAACAGCACAAAATAGCAGTTCCTGTAGAAGGAGCATGATGATGTTCTGTCTGTATTAACCTAGTGTAGTATACTCAGGTCACGTGATCGGCCTTCGCTTACAAAAGCGTCCAGCATCTGCTTACGTGATCATATTCGCCTCTGATCAATGTTAAACACAAGCATCCGAGGTCACTCTTTAGATAGGTCACTATTTCACCACAATAGTGACCTAGCCAAAGAGTGACTTTGGATATGCCTATACCTAACGCGGGGGGCAGACTAGCTCGTACTTAGTATTCGCAAGATACACCTAAACACGTTATTTATAGGCAGACATTCAGACGCACTCACACAGATAGGTACGATTTAAAAGTTTGGCATTCAACCTTGCGCACACTCACTAGTAGCTTCACTCTCGGGCTCGCAATAATGAATACTTAAGAGCCGTTAAATCGGTATACGAACGTTTTACAGATGAGGTGAGACCCGGAGGTGGGCAGTAGTTGGTGTGGAGAAGAATGACGCAACGCCCCCTTCGTCCATGAAAAGAAAGCTAAAAATCATTCCGTATGTTTCTATCCATTTATTATACAAGATAGAAGAGCAAGCTCTGGGGTTCGCCCTTTGATATCAGTAATTTAGTCCATAGGACTAAATCAAGGTCTGCATGCGTACCATTTCGAATGCTTGGCAGTATGGAATGGGTCTTGCTGTGTGCGTTGATTAGTGTAAGTGCTGATGGATTGTGTGTGTCCAAGCTAATGTTGATGTTGTTGATGTGTTAAAAATACGAATACTAGGTGAGAGAAGGGGAAAGATACTGCTCGGTAATGTCGTCAACGAGAAAGAGCGACCGACAACATATAACAGATTAATGAATTTGTTTTAGAAAGGTGGCTATTGTTGTTCCTTTTCGATTCATTAAGCACTTCAAATGAAAAAACTTCACATTCACTGCTTAGCGGGGGTACTAAATTTTTGCTGCCTCGAAACATCGAGCATTTGCTTGTTATCTTTCTGTCCGCCATTTGTCGCTTTGAAGCGAATCGTGTGCTGGCATTGGTTCGTGTACGTAACTTACTTACCATGCCGTCGCAACTTGTGACCTAATGAAAAAGTGACACGTGTAATGCAAATCTACCTGTGAGGAGGGACACGCTATATCGCACTTAGTACGATGTATAAGGCACACCTAGCGTGATTTATCGACGCACGCAAACACATGCAAAGAAAGTAAGCTAGAAAAGTTCGGGATTCACCTTGAGCACGTTCACCGCTTCACCTCCGGGCTCGCAATCAACTAAATGTAGTTGAATATTCATTGAGACTGATTATCTATAACTCGTTGATAACTATTTTCAATTGGCATGGCTTCACGCCTAGATACATACCCCAGTAAGCAAGTATTTTTTTCTCGTGCTGGACACATCCGAAAGTAGTAGTCTCCTTCAGTACCGTGACGTCGCTGGATAACGTTCTCAAATTTATAGTAAGATAGTAAGCAGCAAAATCAAAACGCTGTCGTTGCCTCCAGATGAACAAAAGTACGGTCCTTCCACGATGTTTACCCCGCTTTCAGCTGTTAAAAACTCTTGTTCGGGATACCCTTTGCTAACTTACCGCATCTACTTGTGACAGCACAAATGTAAACAGCTTGGTGCCGGTGGAACCGGTCACGGTGAAAAGCAGAGGTGATCAATCGATATCTACATTGGAAGAAGACCTCAAGTCAGGATCGCATGTTCTGCATTTAAACAATAAATGAGCGAGCTCAGCGAATACGATCATATCTGCTGAGACATCGACCGTCCATCAGCATCAGCTCCAGCGCGTTCTCTTGGAGCTGGCGACCACGAAGCTTGATCTCTAAGCAACTGGTCTGCGCGGTCCTACGAGGCACAACGTCTCCTAGCAAACGCGTTTTTCCTACCGCCTCTTCCATCTATAGGTTACCTGTCACCACTTCTGCACTTGATCATGCTAAGTCGCGACCCTTACTCCGGTACTCGTACCGACCCTTTATACGACACTCCGGCTCCAGAAAAATGACGCTCCACCTCGCCTACTCTCCGACAGCGCCCTGACAGCTATCCTCCGATGAGATCACATCATGCAACTACGTCTTATGACTCAAGATTAATCTCCAGCCATACTTGAAACATCAGCTGCGGCAGTTCGGCGTATGCTGGCGGTCACGAAGCTAGCTGGTTTTGGACAAGACAGCGGGATTCAATAGCTTGTTTAGCAGCATGTCAGCGCGCTTCTTCATATCGGGTTCGTCTTGTAGCCATTTGAGAAATTCCACCACGCTGAAATCGGACCGCTTCTCTTCCGACAACACTTTGATCACTTCATCATCGTTAAAGACGCCACCACTAGATCGAAACGTGTACACGTATTTCACCCACTTCTTGTGAATACGAAAGATGACGGGCACACTCGACATCTCTCCGTCAGCAACGGTCAACCGATTCTCCGCTGAGATGATCATGGGGTAAGCCTCTTGTGGAGTCACTCTTAGACTTATCCACGCGTTGATCCTGTTATCCAGCGCAACATCTATTTCCGGTAGTCTAGCAATCAACATCCCTTCCAGCGTGTTTGCGTAGGCTCTCAAGTCAGGGGCTAGTCGAAGTCGACGAAAAAATTGGATCGTCTCCAGCGTGTTCATGTTGTCCGCCACCAACAGTTTGATCACCTGTTCATCGTTGACCTCAGATTCAGACTTACTAGCATACCGTAGCCAATGTTGGAGCAAATTATAGTTGGCGAGCCAGATCGACTTCTCACCTGCGACACGGTCAGAGCTCTTCGCGGCCGGGATAGGCATCATGCGGTAGGCATCTTCAAGGCTCACACCTGGTTCCCAAGCATCAGTCACAAGCTTCCAGGTTTTTGCTGGATCCAGAGACCTTAGAGCCAACTTCTTCTGCAGCAAATCGGCTGTTTCCTTCATTTTAGGTCTACGTCGAAGCCAATTGAAGAAGTTCACCAACTCGTCCTCAGATATTTTATCATCCACCAGCAACTCAATCACTTGATCATCGCTGAAGTCCCTCCCTTTGTTTCGGTATGCGACAACATAGCCTATCCAGAGTTCGCGGTTCGTAAAACTGGCGGGTAAGTCTGGCACCACTGCGAGCGCGTCCAGAAAACTCTTTTCCACTGGAAAGTGGATCATGTGGTAAGCCTCATCAGGCCTCACCTTTGCATCCGCATCCATCCAAGCATGTATCATGAGCTCTAACGTATTCGAGGTCGGCACCTTTAGAGCGAGCTCCTTCTGTAGTAGGTCGGCTGTTTCCGTCATATCAGGTCTGCCTCGAAGCCAATTAAAAAAGATCACCAGCTCCTCCACAGGCCGCTCGTCTTTTAACAGCACCGCGATCACTCGACCATAGTCGATGTTGGGATTGCCCGACTCGAAAACATACTTTATCCAAATTTCGAGTTTCGAAAACCTGTCGGGCCAGCTTGACCTCGTAGCGACAACATCCCGAAAATCTTTTTTTTTCGCTGGCTTAAACATGTTGTGGTAAACACCCTCAAGATCCATCTTGAATTTCCGCCACACATCAAACCTCAGCTGCAACCCTGCTAGTGGAGCCATCAACCTGAAAGCAAGATTCTTCTGCAGCAGGTCAGCGCGTTCCTTTGTATTGGGTCTGCCTCGAAGCCAATTGAGAAAGCTCACTAGCTCCTTCTCAGGTCGCTTGTCCGCCAGCAACACATCGATTACTCGATCATCCCAAAGCCTGGAGCTCGCAGATGGGTTCTCGTAACCATAGTCGATCCAAAGTTTAAGCATCTGATAACTGGCTGGCGTACTTGGCTCCTCCCCGGCGGCCAAGCGTTTCTCCAATGAGAAAGGCATCATGTGGTAGGCATCTTCAAGGCTCACCGCTGCTTTCTTCCACGCCTTGATCAGATGCGTACATGTTATTAATGGAGCCGACGACCTTAGAGCCAACTTCTTCTGGAGCAGGTCAGCGCGTTCCTTCATATCGGGCATATCTCGAAGCCAGTTGAAAAAGCTCACCAGCTCCACCTCAGGTCGCTTGTCCGCCAGCAACACATCGATCACTAGATCATCCCTAAGGCTGGGATTCTCGAATCGGAACTTGTAAACATAGTCGATCCAAAGTTTGGGCTTCGAATAAAGAGCGTCCAGACGTTGTTGCTCCAAATGAAGAACGTCCAGATGTTTTGGCTTCTCGATGGGAATAGGTAAGCTTTTCTTCCATAGGATAGGCATCATGTGATAAACCTCTTTTGGATCCACCTTGGAGTCCAAACACCCGTCAAACATCAGCTTCAACGTTTCGAGTGAGTTCTGGGATCTTAGGACCAGACGCCTTTGCAACGCGTCAACGAGCTTTGTCATGTCAGCTAGGCCCCGAAGCCGATCCGATAACTGCACCGACTGTTTCCCAGGGAGGCCGGCACCCAACTCTTCCCTAGAAAGGCCGGCATGTACCAACACGTCGATCAATCGGTCGTCGCTGAAGCCGTTCAATTTGAGATGGTCGTGTTCATTTACCACTATGCCCCGAAGCCCATAAAACAACTGCACCAACTGTTCCTCAGGTAGGCTGGCACGCACCAGCACGTCGATCACTTGGTCGTGGCTGAAGTCGTTCCACTTGAGTCGGTAGTCGCGTACATACGTCAGCCACTGCCCGAGCTCATAAAAGATCTCGGTCGGCGGCGAATTCTTCTTGACGGCAACGAGAGGCCTTTTTTTCGCTGAAATAGGCATCATGTGGAAAGCTTCTGCAGGAGTCACCTTTGCCCCTAACCATACATCAAAGGCCGATGACGAAAGTTTTGGCTCTTGTGCAAGAAGGGCCCTCTGCATCATTGCGGCGCGCTCTTTCAATTCAGGGAAGAACCGCATCTCTTGAAAAAGTCGTACCAGCTCTTTCCCGTGTCCATCTCGTACCAAACCCGTAACCAAGTCATCACCACGAAATGATTGGCCAGGCGTGTGGAACTTTGTGAGCCACTGCATCACTTGATCCTCATTGACGATGTTCGACTTCTCGAAGATCTTGGAAAACTTGCTTCGGTCGATTGGAAAATCCAGCGGGACCGAGAGCCATCCGTTCCATCCTGCAACGTGCGTTGCTCCCTCGAGAACGGATGAGGTCTGTGGCAGGCCAAATCGCTCCTCTTTTTCCTCGTGTTTGTCGCCACTCTTGTCCCCACTTCCATCTTGTAGCTGCACGGGTATCGGCTTCACGGACGCGGTCACCTCTCCGCGAGGAGGAAGAGAGCTCAAATTCAACGCAGCAACGGTGGTGGGAGTACCGTCTGGAGCTGCCGATTCAGCCTCCTGTAGTAGAAGGAAGACGAACGAGGGCCAGAGTGGACGCATGACGGGCGACTGATGACTACAAGACAAATTGCGGTATGAACGGAGTCGGCTCCCCTCCTCCATTCGCCACGAGACATGGACCACATAGCACAGTTTCTACCTCCGGGGATCTGGTCGCTGTACCCATCTACGCTGGTCCAAATTGAATCGTTGGTTTGTGCGGGGGTGAAGGGGCCGTGCTTGTAGTCAGTAGGTGAGTTTTCGCAGAAGACGATGCATCTCTTACCTTCGAGAGACCTGTTACTGTGCGTACCCATCTGGTCCACGGTTGGTGACCAGTGTGTCGCAGGAAGAAGACTGGGCCCACGACTTCGGCAATTCCAGCTGGTTTTCAGAGGTTCAATATTTCAGCCACAAGTACAACTATTGGCCAATGGAAGAACTCCATTCGAATATTTCAGAATGAGCGCAGCGGCCTTAACACCGATCGATTGGCTGATCTAACGTTTTGGCCTTCACTAGCACGACCGAATCTATCAATCAAACACGAGCAAAGTCGGCGACTTGTGTGTCCATTCCTTCGCTGGCCATAGACTCTAGACTTACCACGGCTTGCAGGACTGCGTGTAAACAACCGGACGATACCGATTACGGCGGGAAGAGCGAGATTCGACACGTCAAAGTAGTTAGGGGGTCAGCGAATGTAGTAAACACTCGTTGACATGTCGTGCGCACACTGGTAGGAGATGCAGACGTAGTCACGAAAATAGCGTAGGGACTGCAACGAGGGCTCATTTAGACACGATTTTATGTTCGGATGGGCACTTGATGACAAATGTCCCACTGACACCGAGCGCTCTCAGGTGATGGTGAGAATTATGCGCTGACAAGCCAGTGGGTCACAGAAACCGTGCGATTCCCTTTGTTAAAAGCAGTAGTGCGTATGTGCGAGTACCGTTACTCCCATTCTACAGCCAAGTGTGCCATCATTCAAACCCATTTTGGTAACCATGCAGATGCAGAGAATCTGCTCTACGATAGTAACTTAACTAGTCCTCTGTCAACAACAACAATCGGAAAGAAACTCTCCATTGGCTGATAATCGATCAACGTCGGCTGCTGCAAAAGCTGACGCCGTTTAATAGGTGATTTAAAATGCACCAACATTTAGGAAGGTCAAGCATCCACCCCATCGCCATATCTATCCACCCCTTCACACTTACGATGCTCTGATTGGACGATAGAAAGAAATTCAACATCCATTTTTATCCTTGAATGGTCAGACTAGGAATAAAAACGAGCACCTTTCCGACAACGGAAGGTACGTACGAACATTCACCTCCCTCTTGCAACTAACGTGGCGGTATGAGTATTGTTGGAAATCGAGGCCCTCAGCAAAATGTAATGGGAAACGTTATTCAGCTACCACCCTATCGTTTATCATCCACTACCCATCACTAATCAATATAATTTTATGTCCGCTCTTAAAACGCTGCATTAATTGAATGAAATTAAGGTTGAGCGTTTTCAAGCTCATTCGTTTTTATGGGTATTGTTAAACGCAGCCCTCTTTTGATAATAATACCCCATTCACCACACCCATACAATGAAATCTCCGACCCCGACAAACTCCGACCGGGAAAAGACATTATGAAGTTGTGTGCACGCAATCACACAATTTTTGTTTGTATAATATTAGAAACCTCGGGGAGCTACAATGTGATAGATTAACGCGAAATCGATGATAATCGATACCGCTTCTACTATCCCCTAACACCCCTATTGTAACGGGGTGAATCGTTACATAACAATTTATAAGAAATTGTTAATAGAATATAACTATAAGAGTTATATTCTCAGAATATTGTCATAAGGACAAATATTCTGTAGCACTTACGAGTAGTTCCTAATTGGTTGATATAGGCCATTATATCAACCAACGAAGACGCGCCACGACAGACGCACGCAATGAGTGGTGAGCAGATAGTTGATATGCACATTTGTATTCAGACATAGTTAGATGAAGATAAATAGTGATTTATTGCAGACATTAACTATTATAAATACAGCTCCACTTTTTACTTTAACCAAGTACTCGCTTCTTCTTACCGTCTTCCTCTGCACGTACGAGTGTACGTGAAGTTACGAGGCACCGCCTTATTCTGTCATCAGAATAAGTAGCTTGTACTGTCACCAGTACAAGCTTCAGGGTGCCCCGTTACACCTATACCACCCCTTCTCCCCCTTCCTTCCTCTCCGCTCCGCTCTAAGCCCCTCCCATCACATAGTATTGTTCCGTCCGAGTATTGGAGGTTATTACTTTGTCGCAGATGTCAAGCGTTCATGTGTCACGTTCAAGACTTGTTACAGGTAAGATTCAACATCAACTGATTGGCTCTAATTGTGACAACGTGACAGTTGGGACAAAGAGAGACGGACCACATGGGACTACCACTATGACATTGATATGGGACCGGGAGAGACTTCGACATGTGAAAACAGCATATGAGACGTGCAACTGGACGCACGTCACCTGCAACTTGGCCTGGTCAAGTTGCACTACAGGAAGATCACATGGTGTGTGGAGTAAATGAAAGAAGTTAAACCTCAATAAATATTTCATTTTTTTCTACTTTCTACCTTTGCACAAGTGCATCTTTGTTATACAGACCTGGTTCGTCGGAGAGTAAGTTGTGAGAGCTTTATCTGGTCATCTTTCATATTGTAAATGATTATTATTGCATCTGAACCATTTCATCTGGACAAAATTCTTTACTAATTAAGGAATATTTTCCAACATCAGAGCGTAACTTTCATTTAGAAAATTCTGATTATATGTAGTTTGCATCGCAATATCCATAACAGCACTGCTCGCTTCGACAAAATATGTCATAAAGATAGCTTCGAAAGCTCTAATTGTCCATTTACTCTCTGATTAGCTATGAATATTTTCATTTGAACACTTCGGTCTGCTATCAAAGGGTTTAATATCACTACGCTCACCCTATTGGTCGATACAATCAATTAGTAATTTTTGTGTGGTCGGAGGTTTAAGAATACATATTCATGCCACGCCACAATAGGGCTGTCCGACAAAAACCCTTTCAGCACACCTATGTATAACCACCATCACATAATTATGTGTATTATTCGTACAATCAATAAGCGATTTACCACGAAATATAACCAAGATAGCCAATAGTCTGGCCCTCATGCTGATACATGGTTATTTTAGTAAAGAAACACATAGCTGTCTGATTCAACTTCATTTTAGAGATTTAGTTATCGCTGCGAGAGATGTATCAAAATACGTTTGGTGGAACGTGAGCCTGCGTTCATTCCTGTACGTACCTAGCTTAGACTCAAGCCTGGACTGTTACCGCTTTAAAATGTATGAATAGAAACTTAGATGTATTCTAAATGTAGTGCAAGATCGTCGTGGTAGTTGTTCAAGTCCTAACGAAGGCAAAGAGGTTCAGTCGGATATGATATGCAAAAAGAAGTTTGCTTAGTGAATAAATTAATATTCGTACGACAGACTCAATTTGTTGAACAATACCAGTCATAGTGAGGTATGGTGGCGCAAAATTTTGCTTAACAACCATTTTGTGGTATAATGTATGGGGGGAGGTAAGAAGTACAAATGTGCGGTGTATTTGACAAAACCCTTTCTTACTATTGAATCTGTGTCCTTTTTTGCCGCCATCAATTTTTTTTCGAGCTTGTCAATTCATCCGTTACTACAACGGAAAGTCTTGAGCCACCGCCCAGAGTGCGTACAATTATTAGAGGAATCACAGTCACCAATTTAAGGTCATGCACAATTCCAAGGCTATTTTATTGTTGCTAAACGCACGGAAAAGGATAGGCAATAAAAAAGTGCCGTGACATGTTTATTTTTACCCTGCTCCTAGTCAACCCCTCAGAGACACAAAAAGGACCCGACCAAAATGCTCCTTCTAGCCGTAGTATTGGGTGTTCGTTCATAACCAGGTAAGCTTCGGTATCTCCGTATCTTGTCGTGCCGATCACGGATCATAAGCTTGCCTAAATATTTTTTATACATCTACATTAATTCTTGTGCTTATGAAGCCGAATCCTTGACCCCAATGTTGAATTCGAGTAAGATGCTCTTGATCGCATGTATAAACAACTTGTATTATTTTTATAAATAGCGACTTGCAAAGCAATGTATTCAGGGACTTCCTAAATTCACACCCCTATTCCTTAAATTCACACCTTCCTTCAACATCTTACATATAAAATTCCTATTCATTTTAAAATGTGCTCTCTGACAAAGGTATTACCCAAAAATCTAGGCCATTAGTTGGCAAGTAATGCGCAAGAAATACCCATGATACTGCTCACGCCTGTGGTCTGGCTCCTCCAGCGTTTACTGATAGGGCACCACGCAATAACATGCTTCCTCCTACTCTAATCCGAGCTGAGGATCTGATCCGCCACCTTATGCATTTCCGTGTGAGCATTCAATTCCACCAGTTTGCCCTGCTCACGGTAAAAGTCAATCACGGGCTGCGTCTGCTTGTAAAAATCCTCCAGACGCGAGCCAAGCGTGGCTTCATTGTCGTCCTTGCGCTAAATCAATGGCTCGCCCGTAATGTCATCCTTACCGTCCACATTCGGCGCAGCAAACTTGACATGATTACTGCGGCCACTAGCCAAATGCACGCGTTGACCTGCAATGCATTCAACCAGCACTTTATCTGGCACGTTAATAATCACCACAGCATCCACCGAGGTGTTTCCTTCATCAACATCTCGTCGAGCTGCACAGCACCACATACAAAAAGAGGGAACTATGGTCAGCCGCTGCGTTGCAACCTGGACACTCGTCTGTATCTCCTCTTGTTCTCACCTTTTTGGCCCGCACGACCGCTCGTGGAAAGTCGTCAAGAAAAAAGCCACAACGGCAACCCGAACTCATGATGGTATCCTTAACGATACCGACGACAATCTCGTTTGTCACAAGTGCGCCCAACTCCATCGCGGCTTTGACCTTTTTGCCTATGTCGGTGCCAGCAGCCACAGCGGCGTGCAAGATGTCGCCCGTAGCCAAGTGGCAGAGAAAGTACTCGTCTTTGTCCAACGGCGATTGCATACCTTGTATATATAAGATTTTGAAGGAAGGGTGTGAATATAAGAAAAAGGGGTGTAAATGTAGCAATTCCCTATATTCATACCGTTTATTACGATTTCATGTGTCCAACCCTGTTCACAATCTTGTTATTGTAGTGACTGGCGCATCCGTCATACATAAGGATCAAGTGTCCCTGCACATAAATGGACACGTTGTCTTAAAAGTAGTGTCGCCATCGAAGACAAACCTGCGCTGTCCGTCAACCCCCCCCAAGATTAGTCGTGACAGCAGAACTCGGGTGTTGAACAGCTCCAACAAGTTGCGGGGTACACGCTCACCTATTAAAAAGTTTAGCGTTCGGCAGATAAAGCCTTTGATGAAGCGCACGCGACAATCATGAGATGAAATTTGTACTGATCCGAATTTCTCTACACATTCATTAAACCCTTGATGACAAACACTTACGTATACCTGCTGTTCTGGTAGAATATCGTCTTATCAATGAAGTCTAACCAATCCGTGTAATGATAGTGCTCTTAGTCCTGCTTCATGCACTAATTGAAGAGCTTGCGTAGACTGTCTAAGCTTACCTCATCCTGGTCACGCTGATGAGTATAGTAGCGATGGATCCGGATGACCAGTGAGATAGCGTATTACTGAACTTATCATGAGGAAGCCTTTACTCCAAATAACACCGTAGTTGGCACGGTATATTCGTTTGTCATTTCCAGGTCTGACTTTCCATTGAATGGAAGGCTGTGATTTTTCATTCCGATAACCCAGTCACGTTGATCATCGTCCAGTTTCTCTCCCAAGATTGGTGGCGACCCACGATTTTGTATGGGCACGCCGCTTAGAAGCAGGTTTGCTTGTGCGATAACGTTCGCTTTAAAAAGGCTGGTATGATCGCTACAAACATGGATGATCTGGACTCCCGCAGCATGCGCTCCCGCAGCGGCGTTTAAATCTCTTAATGTGTCATTCGCGGCCTTGTCAACGACATGATAGGGCTCCGTGTTTTCCCCTCTACCGCGCTCCATATCTGGACCAGACTGTCTGGTACATACCTTGCGGCAACGAATGTGATATTTACGTCAAAAGCAATCATTACGATTCAAGCCTATAAATTAAACTGTGATTAGCAGATATGTGATTTAGTAATAATACTGGTAATCAAACAATTCTCCGTTCCTTTATCCCATTTTTTCGATTATCTTCAATTGAACGACCTTACAACCGCCGAACACTGACACACGCTCCTTTTGATGAGGCTCACGCGAATTTTGACGCCCATAAAAAGTCACTGGAATATGCCGAGATGTTTGGCAGAGGGAAGAAAGATATTGTCAAGGTAGTGTACCATCAGTGCTCTCAATCTCGCAGCCTGTTGTGCGCAGTAGCCGGCTTGAGCGTGTAAGACCACTACAAATTCTGCATCTCGTCGATGCTGCAGGCGCTGTGTCTATACAGGGCACAATGCTAAAAGATACCACGTACTTTATTAAACGGACATAAAAAGTGACAGTATTACAGTATAGAATGTGTGATGCACAGTTTAGAGCATCTGATGCCCCAATAACACATACCTTTAAATTTAGTGGGTGTATTTTTTAATGTGCTATCTTGAAAGAAAGTAACGACCGTCTATTGTAGCTATTTAGTAGTATAAGATGTCTGAAAGATAACAGCTCGCTTCATCTGCCATTATGCAATTATATTTACTTTGAGCTTGATCATTAATATGGTTTAGGACTTTACACACCACGACGACGGACTCCGACAAGGGCCCGTGCATAAGTCCATTGACCAAGGCCGGAGTAAGTTTCTAATGTGTACTTTTAATGGATGAATAGAATGCTTTGTTCTTGAAGAAATTTGAGTCAGGGGACAGCAAACAAATGAATTGGATTCCAGTTACCACCGCTGTATCCCAGTAACACTTCACGACATTTTCCCTGGTCTTCATCTCGTGGTCGACTTACTTTTATCTCCAGGTCGGAAAGTAAGGTCCTTAAAGAGATCAATGTACCCAGACTTACAACTAAACGAAGAGTGTCTGATCTGTACTTCTAAACATAAGATTAAAAAGTAGTAGATCTTGACGGGGTCATCCGTCCAGAGGGGCTCCTTTTCGTGTGACCTGCCTCAAGCTTAGTGGAGAGGGCCGGAGATCCATTTCACCGTTCTACAAAATTTCAGTTTTTTCTTGTTTTTTATTGACCAATCAACGGATCGTTAGTGTAAAGGGTGGACAGTTATTGCTATAGGGTAGGCTTTTAACGCCTCCCTAGATAAATTGAATTCTAAATGGACATACATCATTCGTAGGCTATACATCTAACTATTAAAAATTAAATTGGCAAATGCTCAAATAACATCCAATATTTAACCAGAGGTCATCCACCATTTAGCCTCGTTTAGGTTCCTATTTTATCTTTATAACTATATCGTCTGCTGACTTAATGATTGTATCAGTCAATCTTTGAATAGCGCTGTCGAACGCAGTACTTATATTCGCAGGAGATACATTAGACTAAAACAATGTAGTTATGTTATAATAAGGAGCCAACATGATCTCCTCTACCTTGTTGTTCGGCCGCCGACAATGCTACTTCACAGGGCCAAAAAACCCCAGAATTAGGCCTCACTGGTATAACTTGTCCGCTGCAACAACTTGACAGATGTGTTTTTCTGACTAAGTCAGTTTGTCCATTTATGCACCGTTTCTAACGCTTCATATTACGCTTCTTGTGTACGTCTTTGAAGAAAAAAATTGAGCAGTAAGAATGCGTGTTATGGGATAAACACTCCAATTTAACAAAGAATGCAATTAGCCAGGCGGATACGTATAAATACTGCTCAAACATTTTGTGGGGAAAATCAGACGAGACAGAGAAGCATCATGTACATGATAGGGATATCGAAATGCTTCTTAAACGCAAGACTGCATTAAATAGAAGAATTTATTGCGCCTCGAGAGACTGAGGCTAGGATTTTGCGAAGAAATAGAGGCTGATGCTCCAGGAGAAATTAAGTAACCCTGATGTATCCTTTCAATCAGACGTGTCTCCTTAACGAGGAAAGGAACATTTAAATCCATGAATCTACAAAATTATTTATTGAAACTTGATAGCTCCATGTGTTTTTAAATACTGGTTAACTATCTGACTACATATTCGCTGCTCCATGTGTTTTTAAATACTGGTTAACTTTCTGACTACATATTCGCTGCGACCTACGCGTACAATCAAATTTATCGGTCTTTCGTGTAGCAACTCTAGTAGCTTCGAAAACAGTTGTAACCATTTTCTCTTAAAGCTCTAGTAACGACTCAATAAAAATGTGTTTGTAATTTATATGAATGAATTATGTGTGCTTGAGAAAATCTAGGCTATGAACAAGATCTAGTTCTTACTAGGGCAACCGCGGCGCGTTATCAAAAATCTTAAACGAACAATAAGTTTTAATTTTAATGTAAATCTTGGAGCGTGCTAAGCACACCACTTGCTCACATATCTCTCCCAAGGCGTGGACGATACGGTTGTTCATTAAAGATTAGACTTTAAGGCGTTGTCGAATAAGTCGTCACGCTCGCTAGCCAAAATACCATAGCTGTATCTTTGGACCGCACAACGCTAGTCAATTCCTGTAACGGAGACGACAAACTTATGGTAAGACTCCATTTAATCGAACGATATGTAGTTGCGGCTTGTGAAATGAAAAATCTGAACGAGAAATAAACCGTAAAAATTCACTGTCTCAAAAGGTTCTGATTGGAGCTGAGATGACTAGAATAATTTCAAATTCGGAACTGATTTTAATTGTTGCTACCAGATTAGGTAGAATTCGACATCAATTTTATTAAAACGACGGAACAACAATAGGCGTCAATCGAAGGATTTTCTATCATTCAGCATCCATGCGGCCACCATGCTCGAAGTATATGTTGATCACAACGACTTCGGTGAAGTAGAAGAAAGAAAGAGCAACTATGCTGTTTTTTGCTGACCGCGATACTGACCCAGTCGGCATCAAGTCAAGTGACACAAAGAAACACTAGCAGAGGCGACAAGTGATCATGCTACAGTAAAATTTAAGGAAATAGAGGCTAATGAAAGCGAGTCTGCAGACGAATTCATACTGGCTCGAAAAATTGATTTCCGTTTAGCAAAGACTCTATCGCAGAGGCGGTAGATCCACAAAAGCTATACGATGACAATAATAGCAGAGCAATGTTCCTTTTTTTCAACTGAGGAAAAATTGCTTAATCTACGGTAAACCTACCTCGGCATATTATAAATAATGTGGAAAGTACCAAATTCTTTCCCAAGTTCATTGGTCTTTTTTGTGTGCTGCGCCACCTAGGTGACGCATACAAGAATAAACTGCCATGTAAGCTGCGCAATTATCCTACGTTTTACGTCCTTCTACTTAAAACGTATCATCAGTCCAGGGTTTCTTCTGGTAAAAAGTTTCTTACGTTAAAGCTTCTCCTACTTTGACTTGTGCTCAAGATGCTCTCAGCCGGCCTAGGATGTTTATACATCGTTCCACAAAGCCTAGGGAGACCTGAGGAGATTCCATCACATAGTAGCAAAGATAGTACTGTTTTCGCTTATTTGATAGCTGAGCAATGGCAAACTTGTCCCTGTCTTTCTCTCAAACTGAACTCAGAATTTATACTGCCAAGAAAATCCAGACGCCTGCCTTTCTCTTATTCGAGGTCCTCACGCAACTCACAAGTTACGCGGTCAAGCTGACTCACAGAACCAGTTTGTAACTGCGGATACGCAAGAGCTTGTAATTTCTCCTACAACTCTTCATCGGTTAATAATTTTGGCGATTACCGCTTCCTCATGGAACTACTGTCAAAACACCGCAATGTGAAAGGAGGTAGGACGAATCACCTCATCCGGTGGCGCGGCTATCCGCCCTCTGCGTAGTTTGGGATCTATGATCTCAAAGTATAATGGACGTGTCGAGACTGGAAGGATTGTCAGAAAATGAACGCCCAGCGGGTTTGTAGATGTATTGCAAATGAGCCATCCCCTCGTACATCTTCGACGATACACGAGCCCCTACCAGGGGCCGGTCATTGAGTAAGCTTTTTTTTGGAAATCATGCCAACATTTTAACAAAACATTGACACGCATCACCCCAGGATAGGCACGATAATCCATTCTTTCTCGATAAATGATGCAAGTAATAATGTGCACGCGAGGAGTCCGTTTCTTAAAACTATCGTGAGTTAAGATTACCTTGTCAAGCCAGTCATCTCGTTTAATCTCTCCAACGCTACGAAAAAACGCAGTCATGCTTGAGTTAACGAGGCATCTTCTCGTTTATTGTTCCCGCTGACCCATCGATGGTTGACGAGAACATCGATTAAGAAGTCATGCTTAGTCCGGAAGTCACTTTCATACTAGAATGAAGACCATGAGGATTTAATAAAAATCGAAAAGTTTTTTTTCATTAACGATAGCTTACCGTGTCTGACATGCGATCCAAAACTCGTAATAGAAGCAGCCACGCCTTCTTCTCTGGAGCATAGCGCAGAGCGTCGCGATCTCTAAATTTTTACGCGATGTCAGCAAAAGTTTCAGCGCCATTGTAACGGGGCAGCCTGAAGCTTGTACTGGTGACAGTACAAGCTACTTATTCTGATGACAGAATAAGGCGGTGCCTCGTAACTTCACGTACACTCGTACGTGCAAAGGAAGACGGTAAGAAGAAGCGAGTACTTGGTTAAAGTAAAAAGTATGTAATAAGGCAACCCATTATATTAAGTAGTCATAGTTTTATTACATAATTACATACATTAAGTGTAGGCAGTATCCGGATAGCGGATACTGCGCGTCTATTTATTATTGGTTTATTATTGGGGTGCCAGACCCAATAATTAGCCAATAATAATTAGTTCTGTATTTGAGTGGTTCCCATGAGCTAGGGAACATATTCGCACTTACTGCGAATTATAAAAACACAAAAATACAAACAGAGTTAAATTTACCTTATAAATCACAGCGCTTCCTCAGCTTAATTATTAGTGTAAGACGGTAACGGGCTCTCACCCCGTTACACCTGGTAGCACTTAGTAGTCCTTCCCATGACCAAGTTCGAGATGGATATGAGTGAATCTTCGATGGCTCCAGCAGTTTCGCTGGAGTATGCAGATTTTCCCCATCTCACTACGGTAGAATGGCAGGCATTACACCGCCTCGCGGCGGTGTCTAGTGAAATCTTCGTGACGTCGCTGCTGAGCACAGCGACGCCCTAGCAACACCATGCCTCCATCCAAGACGACAGGGTGCGTGAGCTCGCCGAAGCGAACCGGCGAGTACATACTCCCTCGCGCCCCTCCCATTACGATGCAATTAAAATGGAGACGTCGACATACTCTGGTGATGGTCCAGATCGTCTCCTCCTTAATCGCTGGTTTAGGGAGATTGACATCGCCATAGCGTCAAGGTTGATTGACGCTCCGACGGCCAAGGTTAATTTCCTACTGTCTCGGCTTGTTGGTAAAGCCAAAGAATGGGCTCTTAGGAAGCTCGTTGTAAACGAGTTGGCATTCCCCACGCTGGACGATATCCAGCGCGACTGGCGTTCGAGCCCCCTCAAGATGAGTCACGCTTGCGCGCAGATTTCTTTTCACTTCGACAGGGCAAGCTGGAAATTGACGTTATCGATGCATCTCGTGGTCGCAGCAAGCAATTTGGCCGCGACATTCGAAGTCAAAACACGATGAAGTGTTATCGGTGCGGCAAGACTGGCCATCGTGCGGCCGTCTGCCGAGCACCAGCGCCGGTGTCCATGAACACAGCTGTCTCACGTGGAGATACTGTGTCGTCAGTGGTCCCGCCAAAAAAAGAGCGGTTCCAGTAGGTGCGGGGCGCCCTACTGGCAGTAATGGAGCCCCGAGTACTCAGGTGGCAGCTCGGGCTCCTAGCCCTAAAGTGATACATACCCACTTCAATGCCAACACTATGCGCGACGATTCGAGACTGATAATTATCAGTCTCATCGTTGCTGGAGTTAAACGACCACTTCGAGCGTTGTTGGATTCGGGTGCATCCAACAACTTCTTTCGAGCATCATGTTTGTCCCTTCTCCCGTCGACAGTTACGGTTCGAGAAGGTCCAGGTGACATCGTTGTCAAACTTGCTGATGGACAACCACAGCGTGTCCCGCGTAAAACAGTGGTTTTGCCGTACACGTTCGACGGCTTCCAAAGTAATGACGAATTTTTGGTGTACGAGATGAATTATGCATTCGATTGCATCTTGGGGATACCGTGGCTGTCACGGTATCAGCCGACGATAGACTGGCTATCTCGGTCCGTCAAACGACGAAGCGGTTACGACGTAAGTGAAGTTTTCACTCATCTGTTGGTAGCGCCATCCGATTGGCCTCACGTCAGGGTCGTGAACGAACTCGCCACGACTAGAAGTCATCTCAGAAAAAACGATGGCCCTCTGTGTCCGGTATGTTCAGTCACATAGAACCACAACACGAGGCGGTCGAACAGAGGTTCCCGCACACACAGACATCGGTCGAGCAGGGGCTCCCGATTCACAACGAGACGGTCGAACAGAGGTTCCCGCACACACAGACATCGGTCGAGCAGGGGCTCCCGATTCACAACGAGGCGGTCGAACAGGGGTTCCCGCACACACGGACATCGGTCGAGCAGGGGCTCCCGATTCACAACGAGGCGGTCGAACAGGGGTTCCCGCACACACGGACATCGGTCGAGCAGAGGCTCCCGATTGTAACCGAGGTGGTCGAGCAGAGGCTCCCACATACATCTGAGGCGGTCGACGACGAGCTCCCGCCTCTTATCGACGAGAATGAACGGGCTGTGGACTTAAATGTGAACGACGTGGTGGAGACAGAGCTCCCACGTCTAGCGGGGGGGGTACTTCATCCTCCAGCGACAGCGACGTTCCAGCCTCGAGCAGTGGCTCAAGACGCAAGAGAAAGCGTAAACGCAAGAAAGGTGCACGCCGATTACCAAGACGACGAAATTCTCGCTCAAGCGCCGTTGACGATGATACTGTATTGACGGAATCCGTTTGTGCGCTTGAATATGTGGAAGGGTCTTCACATCGTGGCCGCTACGTTGAGGTAGCGAGCCCTCCGTGCACTGTTGCAGAGATCACATCTCTATTAACCCTACCATGGAAAGATTTCCTTCACGACCTCAAGGCCGGCGACATCGAGCAAGTGTGCATCATATCAGCCGCCGAAGCAGCTAGTGGAGAAGTTCTGGAGGCTCGCCCAAAGAGCGCTGAGCCCAAATCAGCGCGCGAAGAACGTTTCGTGGCACAGTCTTGGGAAGCCCTTCGTGCTTCGGGCAACCCTGTCTATGATATCGCGCGTGAGTATGCCGACATCTTTCCGGAGAATATCCCCGCTGAGCTTCCAGCGGATCGTGGTGTGCGACACGAGATCGATCTCGTGCCAGGATCGAAGTATTGCGTGACGCGGCAGTGGCCGCTACCGCGTGACCAAGTCATCGCAATTGATGAATTTTTTTAGGGCCGCCGTAAGGCAGGACACGTCCGCGAAAGCATATCGCCACATTCGAGTCCGACTTTCTGTGTGAAGAAATCCACCGGCGGTTGGCGCATCGTGCATGCTTTTAACAAGTTGAATGACGCCACGATCCCGGCTCAAACACCAATTCCTCGGAAAGACATGGTACTGGATACCATGTCCGGCAGCGAGATTTTTAGCGCCATAGACCTGACAGACGGGTTTTACCAGATTTTAATGAGGGACAGTGATATCCCGTTCACCGCTGTCAGCACACCGAGTGGGATGCTTTGGGAGTGGCTAGTCATGCCACAAGGCCTTAAGAACGCTCCAGCAACGTTCAACCGGATGGTGACACAAGTGCTTCGGCCACTACGTGATTTCGCTCCAAGTTATTTCGACGATATTTTTGTTCACAGCCGCGCTGAGCAACAACTCAGCGCTACGGAGGTCCACCTTCGGCATTTGAAACAGGTGTTCCAAGTGATGCGCGAGAACAAACTGTACGCAAATTTGAAGAAGTGTGTCTTCTGTGCTCCCGAGATTCCAGTTCTTGGATGCTATGTTAGCAAGGAAGGTGTCCATGCTGAACCCGAGAAAGTGTCATCGATATGTTCATGGCCTACGCCCAGGAACCAAACGGAACTACGCCAATGGCTTGGCTTGGCCAATTACTTGCATAAGTATACGAAGAACTATGCAGAACTAATCCAGCCACTATCGACTCTACTGAAGAAAGACGCAGTTTGGTCATGGAAAGCTGAACATCACCCTGCCTTCAACTCTGTAAAAAAGAGCTTGTCTGAAGCACCAGTGCTGATGTTGCCTGATGATTCCAAGCCATTTCACGTCGTCTGTGATGCGAGTGATTTCGCTATTGGATGTGCCCTCATGCAGTTTGACGATGAGGGCCGAGAGCGCGTCGTGAGCTTTCAGTCACGACAGATGAAACCCGCAGAGAGGAACTATCCGGTACATGACAAGGAACTTTTGGCTATGCGTTACGCGCTGATCAAGTTCAGAGTATATTTGCTCGGCGAGAAGATGTTTTCGGTCTATACAGATCACGCATCATTGCGTACCGCCGTCAAGACTCCCCACTTGTCCCAGCGTATGGCACGTTGGTTGTCATACTTCTCAGAGTATAATTTCGTGGTCTTTTACAAACCCGGCAAGAACAACGTTCTTGCTGACGCGCTTTCTCGACGTCCCGATTATGATCCTCGACGTGACATGGGTCATCAGCCAGGCATTGCTGAAGACGAGGACGACGACATTTGTTTATGCTGTGCTGAGCAGGGGCTCAATGCAATGATTTCGACACCTGAGCTGTCAATCCGGACTCAAATCGCTGAGTCATATGCGAACAATTCATTCTACACGGGAATCATCAATTATCTTCGACACCCTAGTGAGGGTTCACTCGCGAAGTTGACGAAACCAACGCGTGACAACATCAAGCGGTACGCGCTTGATGGTCCGCTGCTGACTTATACAATGGACGTTTTCGACCCACCGCGCGTCGTCATCCCTGCTGATGACGACCTCCGCGCACGATTGGTGCATGAATTTCATGACACTCCAACTGGTGGTCATTTGGGTCGCGAGAAGACGTTCGCGGCCATCTCTCGTGTGTTTTTCTGGCCGCGTATGTACAAATACATCCAGAAATGGGTACGCTCTTGTGAAATATGCCAGCGTGTGAAGCCTGCGCCGTCTTCACAAGCTCCATTGCGTCCGCTTCCGATTGCCACGGAAGCCTGGCGTTCGGTCAGCATGGATTTCATCTTTGGTCTCCCTCCGGACGAACAGAAACGCACGGGCGTATTGGTTTTTGTGGATCGATTTAGCAAAATGGTGCATTTTGCTCCAGTCTCCGCGCACGTTACGGCGGAGACGACCGCGCAGATCTTCATCGATCTCATATTTCGACATCACGGCTTGCCTGAATCAATTGTTTCGGACCGCAACCCGCGCTTTACATCAGCTTTTTGGGCAACGTTGTTTCAACTATTGGGCACGCGACTGCTTATGTCTACGGCAGCCCATCCAGAGACGGATGGGCAAACGGAGCGCGTGAACAGAGTGCTTGAAGATGTACTACGCAGTTATGCGACATCGTTCCAGTCGTGGAGTTCGTTTCTCCCTCTCGCTGAATTTTCAATCAACAACGAAGTTCATGCGTCGACTGGGTTAACGCCATTTTTCGTGAATAACGCGAGGCACCCTCGCGTTCCAGCGCTTCTTGCTCTTTCAGCTTCAGCACACCCAGTTTCTCAGCTTGGTGGGGGAGTATCTCCCGATGACACTACGCGAAAAATTTTGATGAATGGTAATGTTGAAGACAAGGTTGCTGCCGATGCAACTCATACTGTTAATTTCGTGGCCAATGGCATATCGAGTCCCGACGCGATGCATCCCATCGCGTCTCCCGTCGCTAATTTTGCTCCTAAAGAGTCCACTTCTCCTGTAAGTTCGGCTGCTGTGACCGAATTCCTATTACTACGGCAAAGTATCACGCGTTTTGTACGCGATGCACTCCAAGAAGCAGTGGATAAACAAAAGGAGAACGCGGACAAGCGAGGTCGAAAGAACTTGCTGACGTTCAAAGAAGGTGACAGAGTATTACTATCGACAAGCGGATTACCAGACACGTCAGTAACGAATTTGGGCGCTAATAAATTAGCGCCAAGATATATTGGGCCCTTTCGGATTGTTGAAGTCCATGGAGATGCTTACACGCTAGACATACCTACCACTATGCGTTTGCACCCGACATTCTATGTCGGGCGCCTTAAGGCTTACCTGCCGGCGGATCTCCCTTTGGTCTTTCCTCACTCGTCTGTATCGGCTCAAAGTCCGACACCCCCTGCCGACGACGCTGACGACGACTGGGACCAAGTCCTAGACGAGCGCGAGCAGACTCGTTCTGCTGGGGTCCACCGAACGCAGCAGTCTCGAGCTGTCGCAGACGCTCCACCAAGCCCTGCTGCTCCCGTCGGGTTCTCTCGGCAGCCTCTGTCGCAGCTGCTGCACGATCTCGAGCCCTCTCGGCCATCTCACGGGCATCCAGAAGGCCGTTCATCGCCTCTTCAGTGTCAGCACGAAGACAACGAAGCTCGTCACTCGACGGCACAGGCGCCCGATTATGAGAATCGGCGCCCAACCCAAGAAGCCTTCCGTCGTGATGCTCCTCCTCCCTTGGTAGATGCATCGGGTGAGCGACGCTGGATTGTGGATCGTATCGTCGGTCATGAAGACCCCACGCCTCTTGCGCCGAGTAGTGGCTCGGCGCCATCGAAGAGTCGTTCAGAAACGCATTACAAGGTCCGATGGTTGGGTTATTCACCAACGGAAGACACGTGGGAGCCTCGAAGTATGCTGGCTCACGATGTTCCTGACGTCGTTGAGGAGTACGAGACCAGTAAGAGGTCGGCGAACGCGACCGACGCTGCTGACTCCTTCCACGATCCCGCGAACCGTAACGTGCGTGAATTGGCGATCGACGACGATCTCCCGAGCGACTCCGACGTCTTCTACGAGGCTCGGGAGCATTTGGATACCTTGACGGTCGAGAGCGACTACGAGAACGACCTTGGTGGTCGTAAGACAAACGATCTCGACTACGTGAACGCCTCCATTGATCGACAGGGCGTTCCCTCATGTGACGCAACGCAGATACTTGGAGCTCTGAGAGGCTCCTCTCATAGCGTCCGATCCATGGTCGGATGTGCTGGGGCATTCCCCGTGCACACACCATGTCGTCCCATTCCTGCCGCATTGGTCGCGGTCTCTCCATGTGACACCGTGGACACCCTTCACGGACATGGACGTAACACATGTGGAACCCATCACGAGTCAAATGACATACGCGTCGTCGTAGGTCGCCAATAGCGTGGTCGCCATGAGTACTTTCGCGTCCCTCGATCCAGGACGTGAAGGATGCCCCTTCACGTCGACTCGCGTTCCAACGTCTGATGAAGGCACACCAAGATCGTTGCAGTGCGTCTTCAGTGTATGTGTGATTCGTTCCCTTGCCTCGAACGTTACGGTATCGTGTGAAGAGATTCTTCATTGTCTCAAGTGATTCAGGTTGGTGCGCGCCTTCAAGGCTGTACAAGCCCCACGGCTTCAAGTCGTCATCCATGGTCTGCGGTGCACGCTCTCTTCGAAGTGTCTGACGACCCCAACTATCGTTTGGGGTCGAGTCGCGTGGGTGTTCAGGATTCATGCTGCTCAGTTGTTTGTGGCTGAGCAGATTCGAAGACCAAGATGACGTGTCGTTGGAGTTCTCGTTGGGCTTTTCGTTAGACTATTCGTTAAGAAGAAACTTTCTGTGCATGGCGCTTACGTCACGGTAAGCCCAACTTAAAGAGGGGGGTGATGTAATGGGGCAACCCATTATATTAAGTAGTCATAGTTTTATTACATAATTACATACATTAAGTGTAGGCAGTATCCGGATAGCGGATACTGCGCGTCTATTTATTATTGGTTTATTATTGGGGTGCCAGACCCAATAATTAACCAATAATAATTAGTTCTGTATTTGAGTGGTTCCCATGAGCTAGGGAACATATTCGCACTTACTGCGAATTATAAAAACACAAAAATACAAACAGAGTTAAATTTACCTTATAAATCACAGCGCTTCCTCAGCTTAATTATTAGTGTAAGACGGTAACGGGCTCTCACCCCGTTACAAAGTAGAACTGTATTTATAATAGTTAATGTCTGCAATAAATCACTATTTATCTTCATCTAACTATGTCTGAATACAAATGTGTAAATCAACTATCTGCTCACCACTCATTGCGTGCGTCTGTCGTGGCGCGTCTTCGTTGGTTGATATAATGGCCTATATCAACCAATTAGGAACTACTCGTAAGTGCTACAGAATATTTGTCCTTGTGACAATATTCTGAGAATATAACTCTTATAGTTATATTCTATTAACAATTTCTTATAAATTGTTATGTAACGATTCACCCCGTTACATCACCCCCCCCTTAACCATCAGTCACTTTAGTGACTGATTGACTAAATGGATACTCGTCCCAAATCATTTGGGACAGGGTTTGCACTTGTTGGTCCGAGTCCACTTTCCAACATCTCATCGCATGGTTAACAAGCCCATGCGATGCGCGAGCAAGGCCGCCGAGAGCGCGTCCGCACGTCTCTGTGCGGACGCAGAAGCAGAAACCGCAGCAACTGATGGCTCATCGGTTGCTGAAGCGACCCAGCCTGTGTCACTTGGTGATGCAGGCGCTGGTCATGAAGACACTCATGTCTTCACAGAGTATGAGCTCGGTGTCTCATACTCTCCTGATACGGAAGACGAATCCGTATCGACGGCGATCGAATCCAAGCCGCCTGCCAAGCGTGGCATGGATGATGCTTTGCGTCGCAGCATCTTTGGTTCATCTGATGAATCAGATGAACCAGCGTCGAAGCGAAGGCGCTCGAGGTCGCGAGACTCGGGCGCTAACAGTGGTGTCGGTTCTCCTATGGACACCACTTCGCAACGAGGTGCCAGTACTTCTGTCGGCACATCGCAGGAAGATCGGGACCGCAGTGTGTTGCGTCTCGCTCCCGAGAAGAAGGCATGGATGCCTCCTAAATCCGTCATGGATCACTTGTCGGCGACGACGAGTGATCGTTATCGAACATGTGTTGTTCGATTCGTCAAGGATCCATCACCTTGACCCAGCGCGAAAAACTATCGCGCTGAGAATGATTTCTTCATCGATGCTTTCTTCAATCATCGATGGTACAGTGGGAATCACAAACGTGATGGTCCCTCACTACTTCAGGCGTGGAACGCCTACATCCATGACCTTGAGGATGTAGGTCGTGACGCTTGGAACGACAACTTATCAAAGCTCGTGATAAGTTTAAAAAGCGAACCCCGACAGGTGCAAGCTACAAGCTGCATCTTCTGTCAAGGGATAAGGGATTACCCTGCCTCTCATGGGGAGACTCGTGTCCATGTTGTGTGAACCACTCTGCACGAGCACCTAAGGAGGCTAACCTCCTTATTAGCCCGTGGTGGCGCGTACGTATCTCTACTGAGATGTACGAAGGGATTGACAACCTGAAATCCCTTTACGACCGTGCCTGGAAGACTTTATCCAGCGGTCCTTCTTCGGCACAGGATGTGCCGCGTCGTAGTCCTCAACCAGACCCAGTACGTCGATCATCAGTTGGGAGTGGGGCTCCCAAGTATCCCAGGACGGGGGATAGCCGCGCCATCGGACGAGATAACTCGTCCGACGTCCGTTCACGTCGTGGTGGCTCAACAGCTGCTCAACTAGATAGCGCTGGCCACCGCGAGAGTCCTCTAATGGAGGTGGAGGAGGAGGAAAGACGCTCTCCACGCGATCGTGGGGATCCGTGTGTTCCCGAGAGCTTCTTTGATCGCGTAACAAAAGGGGTTTCGCAACGATCTCGAACATGAGCGGGACAGGCGTCTCCAAATGGCGGACACTGTCTTGAAGCATCGAGCTGAGTTTGCCTTTGCTCAGCTTGAGAACGAGAGATCTCTGACATCTCTGCGTAACGAGCTAAGGGTAGCTCGTGGGATTGTTGATCGGTCTCGGATGAGGTAACTGCTCTTCAGACCCTTGTCGATGCCCACCATCGGGAGCACAAGGCTCTATGCGAGATGCTTGAGCGCAAGGGCGTTCTTCATCGGAAGAAGCAGCGTACTGATGGTACGGCTTAAGCCGACCAACGTAAAACGTGGGATGCGTTCGCATCTTACGTGGCAAATCGATCGTGTATGCACTGCCTAGGCGGTGCAATACACGAAATGGGCCGATGTACTTGGGTAGAAGTTTACTACTACCCAAGTTAGTCACTACATGCTTTGGTAGGTTAACCGTAGACAGCAGGACTAAGTCACCTTTATTAAATAAAAGAGTGTTTGCCCTTCCATTCTTGTCAGCGTTTTGCTTTTGCTTGTCCACCGCTTCGGCGATGGAGTCTTGCACAACACGGACTACCGTTTCACGAGCCAGTATGAACTCATCTGATGACTCGTTAGCTTCAGTGCGCTGTGAGCGCACTGCAGCAATATCAACCTTTTCTTCAGTGAGGGCTTCCGCACTCTCACTGGCATCATCTTCTTCAGTGAGGGCTTCCGCACTCTCACTGGCATCATCTTCTTCGATATCGATGTTATCGATATCGGCATCAAACGCAATGACCTCTTCGTCAGAGCGTGATGAGCGTGAACCAAATCGGTTTTTGCTCGCGCGAGTCCCTCCCCCCCTTAAACCAGAGTTACACTCTAGTAAGGTGGGTACACGCGGATGGCGTAAGCCATTCACGTAAAACGGTGTATGGGTCGTGGACGCATGCACCGAGTTGTTAATGGCAAACTCTACCATTGGCAAAAACTCACTCCAACTCTTGAAGGAGTGTACGTATACTCGAAGTATCTCTTCAAGGACACGTTTGGCACGTTCCGTCTGACCATCTGACTCTGGATGATCAGATGTCGACATCTTCAAGCGCGTTCCGAGTGATTTGAACACGGAACGCCAGAAATAAGCAGTGAAGCGTGGATCTCTGTCTGATACGAGTTCACGGGGCAACCCATGAAGTCGGAAGATGGTGTCGATAAAGACACAAGCACAGCCACTTGCCGTGATTGTCTCTGGTACAGCCACAAGGTGTACCATTTTGCTGAATCTGTCAACAAATACGAGAATACCCGTATTCCCGCGTGCGTCTTTGGGTAACCCGAAGACGAAATCCATTGAGATGGATTCCCAGCACTCAGCCGGAACCGGTAGAGGCTGTAAAGGTGCACGCAGTGAAGGACTTGACTTCACTCGTTGACAGACTTCGCATGCGCGAACATACTTTCGCACAAACTGATACTGGCGGGGCCAGTAAAAGTCTCGACTTACCGTGAGATATGTTTTCTCTCGGCCACGATGTCCTCCTATAGGAGCATCGTGATACTCGAACATGATCCGCAAACGCAGATCAGTATCATCTGGAATGACAACACGTGGTGTGTCACCAGAAACGGCTGTATAATACAGTAAACCGTTACGAGTAGTGTATCGATCTGATGCAGATCGATACGCAGACGACAATCGTTTCAACGATTCTCGAGATGGTTGGGAGAGATGTGACAACAACTTCACTATCTCGCCATCTTGGGCGTATGCCCGCCTCACATCATCATACAACGTTGTAGATGGGACTGAGGACGTCATAACCGCAACAGTTGCTGTCTCACTGTTGGGTTTCACGACTGTTTCAAAGTCGGGACGACGTGAGAGTGCATCAGCGACGACATTAAGTCGTCCTGGTTTGTACTCGACCGTAAAGTTGTATTGTGCAAAGAATGACAACCACCGCGCCATTCGTTGTGAAAGGTGCGGGCTGTTCACTGCCGTGCGTAATGACGCATGGTCAGTGTAAACAACGAAGGGTCTATCTCCTAATAGATAGACTCTGAACTTCGCGAGTGCATACTTCATGGCAAGGAGTTCCTTGTCATGCACTGGATAGTTCCGCTCAGCTGGTTGCAGCTGACGCGACTGATAGCAGACGATGCGTTCAACGCCTTCTAGGTCGTACTGCATTAATGCACAGCCGATTGCGAAATCGCTGGCATCACAGACCACATGAAATGGCCTGTCCTGATCGGCTATTGCTAGGACTGGGGATTGTATCAAGCTCTGCATGATACCATCAAAGGAGCGCTGACATTCAGCGTTCCATAACCACCTCTCGTTCTTTTTCAACAAACGAGAGAGGTGTACAGTCATCTCGGCATAATTGCGTGAATACTTATGCAAATACGCCGCTAGCCCAAGGAATTTTCGAAGACCTTTGACATCAACCGGCACAGGCCAGTCGGTGATCGCCTTGATCTTTTCGGGATCAGGACGTACACCGTTCTTACCAACGATGCACCCAAGAAGTGGTATTTCGCTTGCTGCAAATATACACTTCTTGAGGTTTGCATACAATTGATGCTTTCGCATGATTGTAAGAACCTGTCGGACGTGGTACCTGTGAACCTCAACGTCCGACTTTCCATCCATAGCTCGACTATGGATGAATACGTCATCGAAATAACTCGGCGCAAATTCTCGTACTGGTCTCAACAGATGTGATACGCATCTGTTGAACGTGGCAGGGGCATTACTAAGCCCTTGTGGCATTACTAGCCATTCCCAGAGCATGCCGCTAGGCGTGCTAACTGCGGTCTAGGGTGTATCCCGTTCTCGCATAAGGATTTGATAGAAGCCATCCATCAAATCCATGGACGAAAAGATGGTACTCTTTGACATACCATCAATGATTACGTCCTTCCTCGGTATCGGCGTCTGAGCCGGTACCGTTGCAGCATTCAACTTGTTAAATGCATGCACTATCCGCCACCCTCCTGTTGCTTTTCGCACACAGAAGGTAGGAGAGCTATGTGGGGAAGTTGATTCCCTCACATGGCCCGCAGCTAAACGATCGGCAAAGAACTTGTCGATCGCAAGTACTTGTTCACGGGGCAGTGACCACTGATTCATGACACAGTACTTCGAGCCTGGTTTAAGCTCGACCTCGTGTCGAATACCTTTATCCTTCGGTAACTCGCACGGAACAGTTTCAGGGAATACATCCTTGAATTCAACCAAATCTTCGTAGAGAGGATTTGTCTCGAGCGATTCCCACGATTGGGAGTCATATCGCTCATTTCGTGTCTTTTCATCTAGGACGCTCTCGTCCATAGATGAACTACTGAGAACTCTCTCGTTCTCAGTAAACACTGCTGCTGACCTTATGTCGGTTACACACTCGTCGTCAGCGACGAGTACGCAGATCTGCTTGACTTTGCCACTACGCAGATCACGCAAGAACCTTTTATGTTCGAGCGTTGGTAACTGAGTGATCTCCGAAGTCAACTTCGGAGGCGCAATCAGATCAAGTGTATAAGCGCCTACACTTATCCGTCATTGACTAGGACATTTAATGTCTCTGTCATTTCCTGGGGACTTATTCCCTCAGGCTTCGAAGGACTTCCCGGGGACTTATTCCCGCGGGTTCGGAGAACTTATTTCCGCCGTATTTGTAATCTTGGGACTTATTCTTCCTCTAGCTGGGGTTGCGCAACCACAGCGAGATCCTCTACGAAAGACTCTCCAGTCGATCTAGGATTATCGTTTCGCTTAACCTGAGCGATCGATTGTTTCTCTTCTCGATGTTCCCCGCTAGGGATACATCTTTGTCCCGGTCCACCCGACTTATTCGAGTGGTGGACCTTCGGCGCAGCCTGTGTTTCCTCACAGCCGCCGGAACTTTGCTCCGAAGTGTAACCGTTTGGTACACTAAGGTTTTGTGCAGTCGTACTAACGACCGTACCACAAGTGAGGCCATCGCACTCACTCGTAGTACATCCACACGCTTGTGGACGCTCCAAGACGCTTATCAGATGGCCATCTGATGAACAAGTGGCAGGCATCGTTACTGTTCGATGCTGCCAGTTTACTCGTGGTTCGTACCTTCTGAGCCACGGTATTCCAAGGATGACATCAAATTTGTCATCCAAATCCAATACGATAAATTCATCGTCATATTGAGTATCTTCTAGCGTATAGTGGATCTTCACTATACGCTTCATGACGGTTACGGATGCGCCTGTCGCAAGACGTACCGTCATCCTCGTAGGAGGTGTGTCACATTCACTGAATTTAAAGTGACCATCTTCTAGCGATTGGCGTCGCACAAAATTGTTGGACGCCCCACAATCAACTAGAGCTCGAAGAGACAGCTTATTTGTCACTTCTAGTTTCAAGGTAATGAGTGAGATCTCATTACCTAGAGCAGCAACGCACAATGTTTGTATGTTGGGAGCAACCTTCATCAAGAGGCCTACAAATTCTCTTGACGTTGCTGGACCAGTAGGGTGCTCCGCACCTACTGATCCTGTCCGTTTTTTGACGGTCCATCCCGTTGTTGCGTCTTTGCACCAACAGCGGGCCCTCGTCCCTGCCTCTTTCTCATGGGTGGACGGTCACTACGCCCAGTGTTGCGAGACACTGGACGAGGGGCACTACACTCGTAAGCGTAGTGCCCTGTCTTTTGACATCTGTTGCATCTCTGCAACTTCTTGTAGCCTGTAGAGCGAGCCTTCTCGCTCTCTACATAACAGAGTTCCATCGGCTCTGGACCTCCGTTGTCATATCGTCTCGGTTGACGATATGATGTCGAGCTGGCGCGAGCCTGTCTCAGACTGAAGTCTTCCTGCTCCGCAATTGAAATGGCTTGTTCTAGTGAATCTAGTTCAAGCCGTAACAGGTGAGTCTTGACGGGACCATCCGCAAGACCCTGCATGAACACCGAAACCAACGTGTGTTCATCCACCGGATTGGAAATTATACAACTCGTGAGATGTCGTATATGTTGCGCGTAAGCGTGCACATCACGCTTACCTTGTCTGAGCTTTAAGAGTTCGGTTCGAGCTCTGAACCCAGCTCTAGGCGGTTCAAACGTTTGTCTGAGCCGCGACTTGAAGACTTCCAACGACCCAAACGCATATGGGTCGTGCAACTTGAGCCCCAGTGCCCAAGTCTTGGCACGTCCTGCCAGATTTGACTGGGCAAATGCAACTTGCATATCCCCGTCGTCGATGCGACGCGCCCTTATGGCGTCATCCAATTCGACGAACCATCTCAAGAGGGAGTCTTCTTCGACTCCCCTATACTTAGAGATATCAATCTTCAAGGTTTCTGGTCGACGCGAGTGCATCGACCCACCAGCAGCAGCCTGCTGCTGTCTCAACATTTCAAACTGTTGAGCACCCTGTTCTCTCAACAACTCTGCTTGTTGAGAACCTTGTTGGTGAAGCAAGGCTATTTTCTCGCGTTCGGCGTCAAGTTCATTTTGAATGAACTTGGCGATAGTAGCATGTTGGGCATCTCTATTGAGAGCCTCTAGCATGACGCTAACAGCATGGATGCCCATGGTTGAACCCATTCGTTCAACCGCATCCCATTCGACATCGCTCAAATGGGAGTAGTCGTCACGCGTAGCGTGAAAGCTTTGGTCATCTTCATCATCCAACATATTCATGTTGGATGTGAACGTGGTCCTTGGACGGACTACAAAGTGCTAACAGGTATAACGGGGTACCCTGAAGCTTGTACTGGTGACAGTACAAGCTACTTATTCTGATGACAGAATAAGGCGGTGCCTCGTAACTTCACGTACACTCGTACGTGCAGAGGAAGACGGTAAGAAGAAGCGAGTACTTGGTTAAAGTAAAAAGTAGAACTGTATTTATAATAGTTAATGTCTGCAATAAATCACTATTTATCTTCATCTAACTATGTCTAAATACAAATGTGTAAATCAACTATCTGCTCACCACTTATTGCGTGCGTCTGTCGTGGCGCGTCTTCGTTGGTTGATATAATGGCCTATATCAACCAATTAGGAACTACTCGTAAGTGCTACAGAATATTTGTCCTTATGACAATATTCTGAGAATATAACTCTTATAGTTATATTCTATTAACAATTTCTTATAAATTTTTACGTAACGATTCACCCCGTTATAATAGTAGCATGTGGGGCATCCGTATTGAAAGCCTCTAGCATGACGCTAACAGCATGGATGCCCATGGTTGAACCCATTCGTTCAACCGCATCCCATTCGACATCGCTC